CTAGAAACCTGGGGGTAATCAAAGTTTGAAATATCTAAGGCTCCAAAGATATAGTGATCAGAAAATCAGATTTTGTGGCAAAGACTCAATTCCTTATTAATAATTTAAATAATTTAAAAATAATTTAAATGTGCAGATACTTCAGATATTTCAGATTTTAAGTCTAAATGATTCTAAATTCTAAAGTAATAGTGAATGTCATTACAATTAGATGTTTTTCTTATAGAAAAAAGGGTACGGGCAATGAAAAATACATTTTTACTTCTAAATAATGTCATTTCCATATTAGATTTATTTAAGATCTTAACATACTACATTGACGAGAAGAAAATTTTAGAAATTGGAAGTAAGAATATAAACAAAGACAATTTAGTAGCTATTCTATAGGTTTTAAAAAGTAACATACTTTTTCTCTTTGAGTAAAACTATTATTTTTTATCTTACTTAAAATAAATTCAGTTTTTTTTCAGATCTTTGTAGTTAATGTAAAATGAATGACTATAATGAAGAATATAAAACAAGTTGAAAAATATGAAATGAAGCCTTTATTTAAAGGAGTTTGTGAATGCCAGAAATGAATGGAAAATGCAAATCAAACCCAACTAAAACCAATAATTTGATATACATCATGATATTTTTCTAGGGGGGGGGGGGGGAAAAAAAAATTCTAGGGAAGGGGGTCGCTGTGCGCGCCGAGTTTAAAAATTTTACCCCCCCCCCCTACAGAATCCTTATTTACGCCCCTGGGCTTCAGTCATTTTTGCCCCTACATTATATGAGCATAGGTTGGTTATATATAATTTATTCAATACGTTTTACAAATTAAACCATTTACTGAACCAAAAATAGGATTCGAAATCTTAAGGTACTGGAAACTGTGCAGCATACTATTTAGTTTTTTTAATCATCTCTTTAAAGGACCCGTTCACTAATTTGGGTATTATTTCATGGTAACTAATTATCCTATTAGCTATTCATTGGAAATAGTCTTACTTTTAAAAGATATATAGGAGCGGAGAAAAAACCGATTTATCGCTTAGAATTCCAGCGGAAAGCTATAATATACCTTTGCATAGTTACTATTAAAACGGTTTTCCAGAAACAACAGCCCAATAAAATCTTAAATTATTATATTTCAAAGACATCATGTGTCAGCTATTATAAAAAAAAATATAAAAACTTTTGATTTTAAAATTAGTAAGAAATTAACGTTTTTCATGTTTCAATATGATTTAAGAAACCAACACTTTTATACAAAGACGACTTTCTCTCTCAGACAAACCGGTTCCTAGATTCCAATTCTTCTTAAATAATTAAATGTATTTTCAGGATCGAAATAAATGGAATCAATTTATTATCGACTGATGGGTCTGACAGTGGATAAGAAGGACATTTAGTGATTAGTTTACAGTTTACAGTTTACAGTTTACAGTTTACAGTTTACAGTTTACAGTTTAC